GCCCTACGTAGGCCCTTCAGGCGTTTAGGGTTTCGGCAGCAGCAGTTCCCACCTCTTTGCTTTCGCTATGGCGACCCCTAGGGTCCTGCGCTTTGACGCCGAGGGTAGGCCGCTCGAGTTCTCGGTCTGGCTCCTGCGTGAGCGCCGCCTTTTAGGGAGTCAGGTTCAGGCAGATGAGTCTCTGTGGGCGCACGCTTCCGGCAACCTTCCTAAGCCCGACGACCCTGCACCCTTAGGCGCTGGCCCAAGCAGTGCAGACAAAGAATGTTATGCCCGCAAGCGTTCTGACCCGACAGCGTGGAAGTCACGTGACGCTGCGGTTGGCATCACCCTCAGCAGCCTCCTCCCTGAGTCCGAGGAGGCCCACTTTACTCAGGTTCGCACGGCTAGTGAGTTCCTGACTGCGATCAAGGCCCGCTACGCTACTCCCACCACTATCTCTCTTGGTCGTCTGTTCCTCCCGTTCGTGTTTCCCGACCTCGCCTCGTTTGAGCGCTCTGCTGACTTGATCGCTCACCTGCGCTCGCTCGATTCTAGGTACCGCGCTGCCTGCACTGACGCACAGCTTGCCCTGCTCCCTCCCCCTATGGCGATAACTATCTATTTCATCACCACTTGCCTCCCTGACCGCCTTGCCTCGGATCGTGACGCGCTTCTTCTGAAGCACCCTAAGGAGCTCACTATTGCCCTCAAGGACGTCGAGAGCAACCTCCGATCGGTAGCCTCCGCCTCTGGTGCTGTGCCCCCTCCACTGTTTCATGGGTGCACTGTCCCTCAGCTGCCCACCTTTACTGCCTCCCTCGCCACTGCCGCTACTGACGTGACTGCAGCTACTGTTACGACTTCTTCTCGGTCTAGGGGTAGGAGTGGCAGGAGGGGCGGTCAGGGTGCGGGCGGAGGCGGCGGAGGTGGCGTGGCGAGTGGTGGTGGAGGGAGTACAGCGGTTGGGGGAGCCACTCGTACAGCAGCTAGTGACTCCCCTGCTGCAGCTGATGGAGGTGACGCTCGGGTTCGTCAGGCACCTGCTGGTTCACCAGCTGCAGGTGCTGGAGTGGCAGCTTGGTACCTGACTCAGCGGCAGCAGCAGCAGCAGCCGCTCCTCTCACAGCAGCCACAGCAACAACAGCGGTAGCAGCAGAATCCGGGGCAGGGGTCAGGACCGCGTCAGCCGTCGCGTGGTGCCGTCCACCCTCCCTGCACCTATCTCGTTCAGACAGGTGCTCGCCGCAACCTCCCCTGTGGCCGCACAGTGCTTTGCTCAGCTTCCTGACACACTTCGTGCGGCCTACGGTGTTGGCGGCCCTGCCCCTGACTGGCTTCCCCTTGTTCTTGACACCAGCGGCCATCTTACCAATTGGGCAATACCACGTTTACACTTCCCTTTTGATTTTGTACTTCGCGAAGAGGTAACAAAGCAACATCTAGACTAGACTAACAAACTATAACAAGTATAGTTTGACACAACACCATAGTCTAGGTGACGGCAGTCCTGTGAAAAGCAACATATATCTCAGGGTGGATCACGAAGTCACCACACAGTCTGAGAGCAAGGTCCACAGGACGAATCAGCAAGAACAAGCAACGGTCATCAGACCAGTTCACAAGAACAAAGAAACTTTCGAGGTGGATCTCAAGATCTTCACACAGTCCGAGAACAAGCAAGTGGCCACAAGGCCGGTCCACAAGTATAGAACAGATATAGGAGATGCAAGAGTACAAGACAAGCAAGACAAACATCTCTAGGTAAGCAAGGGGCCACAAGGCCAGTCCACAAGTAGAGATATAGAAAAGATAGTGAGATGCAAGAGTACAAGACAAAGCATCTCTACGCATGCAAGTGAGGGCCTGTAGACACAAGGCCTAGCTGGGTGCAGAAACGATGGTGGTCACAAGGCGGCAACGCCTTGGTGAAGATATGTTGTATTGGCCTATGAGACCAGACGTCGCATGAGTGCCCCACGCTGCTGCAACTCGCGCAGAAGGAGTAACGAAGCTGGATGTGCTTCGCCTTTCCAACCAGTCGGGACTCCTCGCACAACAGCAAGCCTGTTGTCGGCGAACAAGACTGGGGGAGAGCAAGGTCGCTCACCAAGGTCGGTGAGGAGGAAAGACAGCCAGCAAAAGCTCCTGGGCGGCCATGGCCGCAACGTACATATCTGCCTCACAGCTGGAGCTGGAGACGGACGAAGCCCGAGTCGATCTCAACGAAACAGCTCCAGTCCCAAGGCTGAAGTAGTAACCATGTGTAGACCGCAGTGACTCAGCGTCGTCGGCCCACGACGAGTCCGAGAAACCTCTGAGTACTCGCCACGTACTTCGCCACCCCCTTAGGAGCGTACCAGTGGGAAGGTCGATGCCTCCCATGCGCAACAAAGCTTGCAAGGACGCAAAGAGGGTAAGCTAGGTCTGGGCGAGTACATGCCATCAGGTACATGAGACAACCCTCCAGCTCAGGATATGGACCGCTGGACTCAAATGGCTCGTCCGAAGGTGGAGCCGTGAGCCCATGATCCACAGCAAGAGGGGTGAGTTGTACCTTAGAGAACGGGAAGCAAAACCGCGTGAGGATCTGCTCGACCATATTCGACTACGTCAGCATATGGTGCGAGCTGCCCTGCCCCTAGTAATCTGAGGCCAAGGTAGCGCTTCAGCTCACCAAGGTCAATGCAAGTGTGTCTCCTCTGCAGTTCCTCTTCCACAAAGGCCGGTTCGCGTTGGTCGGGGGTGGCGAAGACAAGGACATCAACGTAGAACAGAACAACGAACGGGGTCGAGCCGCGGCGGACGAACAGCGACGGGTCGGCAAATGACGGAAAGAAGTCAAGCGCTACAAGTACGTACGTAGCGTGTCATGCCACTCGCAGGTAGTCTGGCGCAAGCTGTAGACCAGTCGACGCAGCTGCCACTGGGTCCCAAGAGGGAAAGTGCCACTGAAGCCAGGTGGACGACGCAACCAGATCTGCTCATGTATGTCAACGGGAGTTTTGGTTGGCCCCGTCCTCGCTTGGGCAGAGCCGACTTCGCAGTCGGGTGTGCGGGGAGCACATCCGATCAGTTGCAGTGAGGGCGCCTAGCTGGAGGGCGCCGAGCAGAAGAACGCCATCATGGGCGTTTGGACGGCGTCCTGGAAGCTTGGACGCCGACCTAGGCGTTTGGACGGCGTCCTGCGCGCCTGGACGCCGACCTGAGCATCTGCACGGCGTCCTGGGCGCCTGGACGCCGACCTACGCGTCCGGACACCGACGTGGGTGCTGGGACACCTCCTCTGGGGACGCCGGTCCGGTGTAGCTGGCGGCCGACAAGGTTGGACGACCGGGCGTGGTTGCCCGGTCGACCGAGTTACCCAGGCGATGTGTGCGATGGTCGCCGGGGTGGTTTTAGCGAGCCGACCTCGAAAGTGGTATCCCGAGGTCGACGTGGCTGGTGGGCGCAGTTGCTGGCGTAACCTCTGCCAGGCGTCTGCGCTGTGCACGTGACGAGGCGTGGTGCACCAACCAACTGCACGCACCTGCAAAGCGGGTGCATCATTGTCATGCGGGTGCAACGCTGTGCAGCCAACTTGCTGCAGCATTGGCACACAGTGTACTTGCAACGTTGGCAAGCCGCTTCTCTGCTGCGCTGGAGCGGTGCGAGATTTGCAACGCTGGATCGCGGTCGACCGTGCTGCGCTGGAGGTCGATCAGCAGGCTTGCTAGCTCTGATGTAGTCTTGCTTGCCATTATTGTTGCTATCATTGTTGTCAACTTTCCTTAGTGAAACTCTTGCCAAATCTCCCCGTGAACTAGCAAGTAGTGTGAGCACAAGAAAACGACTAAGGAACGGAGAGATCACCCTCACACCCGTGTCTAGCCCGTAGTCTAGCTCCCGTTGATTCAGTTATCTCCGCTTGGTGCGGTGAGCGTGGAACAAACACCGCGACTCAGTCTTGTCGTCTTACTTTCACACACCGATCGTGTTCGTAGGCCGGCAGCAGTGCGTTAGTCACCATGGTGGGCGTCGGTGACACAGGCGTGGTAGACACCCTGGAGGCACGGCTGGAGGATGCAAGGAGACGCCACATGGCTGGTGAATACGGGGAGACGCTCCCCTTGGGTCGTCGAGGCTGGAATCCACGCTGTGTGGGCGAGCACCCTCCTCAGCCTGCCTCTCCTCATCCGGTGAACACTGAAGGCGGCGTCGACGTAGGCGTCAACGCCAGTGACCAAGTCGGCAGCAGTGCGGGAGGCACGTCGAGGCAGAGAGGGGTGTTCCGGACGGCTGACGGTGATGTCGGCGGCGTTCAGGCACGAGGGCTGCAGTCGTCGGCGGCTGCGGGCTCCTCGCAAGGCGACGTCGGTGGACGTCGGAGTAGCGTGACGCCGGCGTCGGCGACTCATGTGACCGCAGGAGGGATCGCGCCGACCTACGGGTACTTCAAATTCACGCCGGACAAGGTCTCCGTCACGGCGCCGCTGGTCGGTCGTCACGACCTTCTCACGTGGAAGGAGTCCATGTGGAGCCCCAGCTTGAGACACGAGCATGTGAAGGGAGCAGCGGAACGCCTTCGAGTGACGGTCATAGCAGCACCATCGCGCGCTCGGCGCTCCGCTCGGCGGCAGCAGCGCAGCAGTCTTCCGTGCTCTCTCCGCACACGCGGAACTCATGCCTTATGGACACATGCCTCATGGACACATGCCTCATGGACACATGCCTCATGGACACATGCCTCCTCATGAATTCATGCCTCATGGACACATGCCTCATAGACCCATGCCTCATGGACACATGCCTCATGGACCCATGCCTCATGGACTCATGCCTCATGAACACATGCCTCATGGACTCATGCCTCATGAACACATGCCTCATGGACTCATGCCTCACGGACTCATGCCTCATGGACTCATGCCTCATGGACTCATACCTCATGGACTCATGCCTCATGGACTCATGCCTCATGAACCCATGCCTCATGGACTCATGCCTCATGGACCCATGCCTCTTGGACTCATCTTGAACACATGCCTCATGAACTCGAGCCTCATGAACCCATGCCTCATGGACCCATGCCGCGTGGACCCATGCCTCATGGACCCATGCCACATGGACACATGCCTCATGGACTCATGCCTCATGGACTCATGCCTCATGGACACATGCCTCATGGACACATGCCTCATGGACACATGCCTCATGAACCCATGCCTCATGGACCCATACCTCATGGACTCATGCTTATAGACTCATGCCTCATGGACTCATGCCTCATGAACACATGCCTCATGGACTCATGCCTCATGAACACATGCCTCATGGACTCATGCCTCACGGACTCATGCCTCATGGACTCATGCCTCATGGACTCATGCTTCATGAACCCATGCCTCATGGACTCATGCCTCATGGACCCATGCCTCATGGACTCATACCTCATGAACACATGCCTCATGGACTCGTGCCTCATGAACCCGTGCCTCATGGACCCATGCCGCATGGACCCATGCCTCATGGACCGATGCCGCATGGACACATGCCTCATGAAATCATGCCTCATGGACTCATGCCTCATGGACTCATGCCTCATGGACACATGCCTCATGGACACATGCCTCATGGACTCATGCCTCATGGACACATGCCTCATGAACCCATGCCTCATGGAATCATGCCTCATGGGCACATGCCTTATGGACTCATGTCTCATGGACACATGCCTCATGGACCCATGCCTTATGGACACATGCCTCATGGACTCATCCCTCATGGACACATGCCTCATGGACTCATGCCTCATGGACTCATGCCTCATGAGCACATGCCTCATGGACTCATGCCTCGTGAACACATGCCTCATGGACTCATGCCTCATGGACTCATGCCTCATGGACTCATGCGTCACGGACTCATGCTTCATGAACCCATGCCTCATGTACTCATGCCTCATGGACCCATGCCTCATGGACTCATACCTCATGAACACATGCCTCATGGACTCGTGCCTCATGAACCCGTGCCTCATGGATCCATGCCTCATGGACCCATGCCACATGGACCGATGCCGCATGGACACATGCCTCATGGACTCATGCCTCATGGACTCATGCCGCATGGACACATGCCTCATGGACACATGCCTCATGGACACATGCCTCATGGACTCATGCATCATGGACTCATGCCTCATGAACCCATGCCTCATGGACACATGCCTCATGGACCCATGCCTCATGGACACATGCCTCATGGAGTCATGCCTCATGGACACATGCCTCATGGACTCATGCCTCATGGACCCATGCCTCATGAACTCATGCCTCATGGACTCATGCCTCATGGACCCATGCCTCATGGACTCATGCCTCATGGACTCATGCCTCATGGATGTCAACGGGAGTTGTGTGTTGGCCCCGTCCTCGCTTGGTCGGAGCCGACTTCGTGGTCGGGTGTGAGGGGAGCAGCCGACCTGCAGCAGTGGGTGAGCTGGTTGACGAGGTCGTCGACCTGCACGGGGGCCACTGCACGGGCGCCGACTTCAGGGTGGCGCCGACTTCAGGGAGGTCGACCTGGGAAGTCGACCTGCGGAGGGCGTCGACTTGGTGACGCCAACTTGGGGCAGCCGACCTGGGTGGTCAGCTGACAGGACTGCTGGTCGACCTGGTGGTTGGTTGACCAGGCCTGCTGGTCGACTTGGTGGTTGGTCGACCAGGCGTGATGTCGACCTGGTGGTCGACCGAACATGGTGGTCGACGAAGGAGGGGCCGACGTCGACCTCGACGGAGGGATTCAGGACGCCGAGCAGCTGGGCGTCGAGTAGCAGGGCGTCAACTTGTTGACGCCGACTTCGGGTAGCCGACGTGGGTGGTCGGCTGACAACTGTGCTGGTCGACGTGGAGCTGGTCGACCAGGAGTGACGTCGACCCGGAGCTGGTCGACCAGGGGTGTGGTCGACCTGGTGAGGTCGACTAGAGGTGGCCGTCGACTTGGGAGGTCGATGGGCACATACAGGAGCAGCTGGTCGACGAAGTTGCCCGGTCGACCATGTTACCTGGGTGACGAGGTTCCGCGGAGGAGTACGACGGTCGCCCAGGCCATGTTGGCGAGACCGACCTCGGTGGTGGTATCCCGAGGTCGACATGGCGGATCAGGTGCGGTCGTCAGCACGAGGATGACTTGGTGTGTGTGCGCTGTGAAGGTGACGAGGCACAGCATGCCAATCACCTTCGAGCACCTGCGAAGTAGGTGCGCTGCTGTCTGCGGGAGCAACGCTGGCACGCCGTCAACCTGCAGCATTGGCACGCCGTCGACTTTGCACTGCTGGAGCGCGGTCGACCAAGTCGTGCTGGAACGCAGTCGACCGAGCTGCACTGGCAGTCGACCGACCTGAATGCTAGCCCTGATGTAGTCTAGTCTTGCCAACCTGATTGTACCATTGTTGTCAACTTTTCCTAGTGAAACTCTTGCCAATTCTCCCTGTGAACTAGCAAGTAGTGTGAGCACTTGGAAACGATTAAGGAACGAATGAACGCAGAGATCACACAAGCACCCGTGCCTAGCCCGTAGTCTAGCTCCCGTTGTAGTAGTTATCTCTGCATGGTGGGGTTAGCGTGGACGGCACACGACTTACCTTTCAGTCAGGTCGACGTAGACACCACTTACCTAATTCGTAGGTGCAGGCCGGCAGCTATGCGGTAGTCACAATGGTAGGAGCCGTAGGTGACGCAGGGGTGGTGGACACCCTGGAGGCACGGCTTGAGGACGCGAGGAGACGCCATGAGGCCCAGGAGTACGGGGCGATACCCTAGGCGGTCGTCGAGGCTGGACTCCGCACCATGTGGGCGACGGAGCATCCCCCTTCTCGACCAGCTTCTCCTCGACCGGTGACCAACGAAGGCGGCGTCGACGTGGGCGTCAACGCCGGTTATGGCCAACTCGGCAGCAGTGCGGGAGGCACGTCGAGGCAGCGTGGTGTGATTCACGCCGACGAGGTTGGCGGCGTTTAGGCGCGAGGGATGCAGTCTTCGGCGGCTGCAGGATCCTCGCAGGGCGACGTCGGAGGTCAACGAAGCGGATTGTCGCCGATGTCGGCGACCCAGGTGACGGTGGGCGGGATAGCACCGAGCTACAGCTACTTCAAGTTTACGTCGGACAGGATCTTGGTCACCCCGCCGCTCGTTGGTCGACCCGACATCCTCACCTGGAAGGAAGCCATCGAGCCCCAGGTGGAGATGGCCGGGTTGATCGGCTTCGCCCGAGGGACCATGGCGACACCGGACGACCCCGACTTGCGTGCGGAGTTTCGCGCCGTGCAGCTATTGACCTTCACGGTCATCTCGCGGTGCTGCTCGCCGGGCGTGCAGATCGCCTTGAAGTGGTGCCGGGAGTATCTCGACGCCGGCCACCGGGCGTGGCACTTCATTGAGTCGACGTACCAAGTTACCCATGACTTGTTCATCGCCCAGCTGGAGGGGCAGCTGACGCACCTGCGTATGGGCGACGAGGAGACGGCGACCAACTACTGCAACCGAGCCCGGCGAATTCTCGCCACTATCAGGATGGCCGGCGTGCAGTACTCGACGGCGCCGTACGTCACCCATGTCATGCAGGGACTCTCGAGCAGCTACATCCTGCTAAAGCGGCTGTCAATGGCGCCGAGCACGAGGGCGACGCTCAACGAGGACAACTTGACCTCATAAATCCTGCAGGACGAGGCGATGTAGGAGGCTGAGCAGCTCTTGGCGCAGGCGAACTTCGTCGCCCCGGCGAAGCAAGGAGGTCGACCGGAGCAGCGCGGACAGTCTGGCGGCGGTGGTAGCAGTGGCTGGAAGCCAGCCAAGGAAGTCGACAAGAAGAAGTCGACCAAGGACAGCGGGAGAGGAGGAGGAAGTCGACGTCGGGAGTGCTGGATCTGCCACAGCCCCGACCACCTCTCCTTCGAGTGCCCCGACCGCAGGGACTCCGACGACAACGACGCCATGGGAGGCCGCGGGAGGTCTGGCAGTCATCGTCCTCGTTGAGGAGGAAACCAACCACGCAAGGAGAAGCAGTCGACGACGTCGACCTCGGCGAAGGACGCCGACTCCTCTGCTGGCGGCAAGGGGTGAGACGACAAGGCGGCGACGTGCTCGCTGGTCGGCGTCGTGGAGCTGACCGTCTCGCTGGCGCCGGAGGCCGGGAGGACTTCCAGGCGGTGGCGGCAGCTGTACAGGCAAACCCGGCGGTGGTCCTGCTCGACAGCGGCTGCTCCCACCACCTGATGGGGACTAAGGAGGTCTTCGTCGACCTGCAGCCGAGCAGCTTTATCAAGCATGTGCGCGGCTTCAATGGGGCGCTGCAGGACGTCCAGCGCCGCGGCACTGTCGCCCTGCAAGGGGAGGCCGGAAAGCAGGTGCTCATCCCCGACGTGCTCTACCGCCCGGGTGTGCGAGCGAATCTGCTGTCGGCCGGCCAGCTGAAGGAGCACGGCGTGAAGATGCAGGAGGACGGCGACGGGATGCTGCTCGTCTCGGCAGCGGGAGCGGTGTTCGGTCGGGCGACGTACACCGGGTGTGTCCTCTGCACCGACCTGCGTCCCTGCTCCACGAGATCGACGTCGCCCACGGCGGAGGTCGTGGCCCTGCGGGCGATCGTTTCGGCGACAAAGTCGACGCCGGTCAGGCTGCATGCGAGACCTGCACACGTCAGCATGGACACCATCCGGAGCTCGGCGAAGCACGAGGTCGCCACTGGGCTGGACTTCAAGTCGGCGTCGGGCGCCGACTCACTGTGTGTCTCGTGCGTCGGCGGGAAGCTGGCGCGGCACACCTTCCCCGACCAAGGCTCCGACGCCGACGACGTGCTGGCCGTCGTGCACATCGACCTGTGCGGGCCGTTCCGCGTGGCTGCCATGAACGGCAGCTTGTACTTCTTGCTGCTGAAGGACCGCAAGTCCCGCTACGTGTGGGTGAGGCCGGTCGCCAAGAAGTCGGATGTACTGCTAGAGCTCCAGATGTGGCTGGTGTTGGTGGAGAGGCAAGTGAAGAAGTCGGTGCTGATGCTTCGCTCCGATCGGGGAGGGGAGTTCCTCGGGAAGAAGTTCACCGACTTTGTGGACGGCAAGGGGATCGTCCACGACCTTACCTGCCCGTACACCCCGCAGCAGAACGGCATGGCGGAGCGGGAGATGAGGACGGTGGTGGAGTCGGTGCGGACGATGCTGCTGCACATGGGCGTGCAGCACCACTGGTGGCACTTCGCTCTGCGACAGGCCGTCTGGTCCGCAACTGCCTGGAGAAGTCGACACTCCCATCAGGGACGACGCCGTACCAGCTCCTCACCGGGACGAAGCCCGACTTGTCGCTGGCACGGGTGTGGGGCTGCATGGCACAGTACTTGGTCCCCGAGCAGCAGCGTGGGCCGAAGGCCAGGTGGGGCCTTCACCTCGGCGTGTCGGAGGAGAGCAAGGGCTGAGAGCTCCTCGACATCGTCGACAACCGGGTGGTCACCACGTCGGACGTGGTGTTCTACGAGGACATGTCGCTGGAGGTGTGGAAGTCGGAGCACGGGCCGGTGTCAGGACGGACGTCGACCACCCCGCCGACCGACACCTCGACGGCGACGCTGCCTCTGCTCGTCGAGGTCGGTGAGCTTGCTGATGAGGACGCCGAGGTCGTCCGTCCTCCTTCCCATTTCCCTCCGCTGCGACCCCTGCCCCTCCCCTCGTGGCCGACCTGCGCGGGCTGACTCCTGTGTCGGCCTCCGGCGATGAGGGGAGTAGTGGGACGTTGCCTTAGGCGCCGGCCAAGGGCATCGCCGGTGGCAGACGTGACGAGCGGCACGTCGACGTGGGAGTGAATTCCACGTTGATAGGGGAGGAGCACGTCGAGGAGGAGCAGCCGACTTGGGTGAAGCCGGCGAAGAAGGCACCAGCAGGTCAGCAGCCGACAGGGGAGCAGACAGCGGTGAAGCCGACCACGAAGCAGTCGGCAACCAGGCAGTCGGCAGAGGAGCCGACTACAGGGGAGAAGTCGGCCAGGAAACCGACCGAGGTGCAGCAGGACGACGAGGGCAGCGAAGCCGGCGCCGAAGGAGGGGACGCCGAGGAGTCCACCAAGAGCGACGTGGTAGAGGTTCAGCCTGAACCCCGGAAGTCAGGCCGAATTCGGAGACCGCCTGACTTCTTCGTCCCCGTTTCCTTCACCACGGTGTACGACGTGGACGACGACGACCTGGCGTACAACGACGCCGAGGACGATGAGGGGTTTCCGGAGCTCGACCCCGACATGCATGCCGACCCCGAGCACCGCTGGGAGATCTCGACGATGACGGTGAAGGAGGCGTTGGCGAGCCGGAAGGGCCCGGCGGTGAAGGCTGCCATGGAGGAGGAGATCCGCAGCCTCATCAACATGGGCACTTGGGAGCTGGTCGAACGCCCGCTGGGGGTGAACATCATGAAGAACCGGTGGGTGCTGACGACGAAGTACCACATCGACGACACCGTCGAGCGCGAGAAGGCGACGCTGGTCATGAAGGGTTTCACCCAGGTGTATGGCGCCGACTACGACGAGACGTTCGCGACGGTGGGCAGCTACGTCACGCTGAGGATCTTCCTCAGCATCGTCGCCATCCTCAACCTCAACCTGATGCAGCTCGACATGAAGAACGCCTTCCTGCAGAGCAAGCTCGTCCGGGTGCTCTACATGTCCCAGCCGGACTACTTCAACGACGGAACCGGCCGGGTGTGCAAGCTGCTGAAGAGCCTGTACGGGCTGATACATTCGTCGTTGCTGTGGTACTTGGAGCTCAACGACGTGCTGGTCGGCGCCGGGTGGAAGAAGAGCTAGGTCGACGAGGCTCTGTACTTCAAGGTCGGCGATGACGGAGTGGTTTGTTGGGTGTTGGTCTACGTCGACGACCTGCTCGCCGCCAGCAGCAGCACCGAGATGCTGAAGGAGCTGAAGGAGCTGCTGGAGTCCGCCTTCGAGCTGCGTGAGATCTCGTCGGTGCAGAAGTACCTCGGGCTGGAGATCGTCCGCGACGGGTCAGCGGGGAAGCTGTGGCTGCATCAGCAGGGCTACGCCGACAAGCTGCGTAGGCGCTTTATCGACAAGGAGCAGACCGGGCGCACTCCGAAGACGCCGGTCTCGGTCGACGCCTACGCCGAGCTCACCTTCGACGACGAGGAGGCACAGGAGCGACAGGAGGAGGAGTACCGGCAGAAGGTCGGCTCGCTGCAGTTCGCGGCGACGACGACGAGGCCGGACATTGCCTTTGCCTGCAGCAAGCTGGGGAGCGGCCTCACGGTGAGGAGCGACCAGCACTGGCGCGAGGTCGACCGCTGCCTCGCCTACCTCGCCAACACGCGTGACACCACCTTGGAGTTCGGCGGTGGACTAGAGTCGCTGGAGCTGGTCAGCTACGTGGACACCGACAACGCCGGTGACAAGCAGAACCGAGCGAGCACGGGCGGCTATGTGTTCGTCTACGGAGGGGTCGCAGTCTCCTGGTTGAGCCAGCGCATCAAGTGCGCGACGTTGTCGTCGACCGAGTCGGAGTACGTGGCGGCCACTGAAGCCGGCAAGGAGGGACGCCGCCTTCGCTTCCTCCTGGCGGAGTTCCGGCAGCTGGATGCTGGGAAGCCGACCGTCCTTCGGGTGGACAACAAGTCGGCCATCACGGTCGCCGAGGGCATGGGGTTGACGGGCACCCTCAAGCACATGGAGCGGCGACAGGCCTGGTTGCAGCACATGGTGAAGCGCGGGAAGTTCTCGCTGAGGTACATCCCGACCACCAAGCAGCCGGCCGACTTCCTGACGAAGGCGCTGCACTATCCGGCCTTCAACCGGTGCTCCGTTGCAATCGGCCAGGTGCGCTTGGCCGACGTGGGCGACAGTGACGACGACGTGCAGCAGTAGGTGCCATGCCCTCTTGCATGGCTGGTGCGGTGACTGGCGTGCTGTATGTGGGGTGCACGCCGACGAGCTATTTCTCCGAGGAGTACTGCCGTGTGGGCTGGGGCCCAAGCGTGAACGCGGCAGGGGAGTGTCAACGGGAGTTGTGTGTTGGCCCCGTCCTCGCTTGGGCGGAGCCGACTTCGTGGTCGGGTGTGAGGGGAGCAGCCGACCTGCAGCAGTGGGCGAGCTGGTTGACGAGGAGATCGACCTGCACGGGGGCCACTGCACGGGCGCCGACTTCAGGGAGGTCGACCTGGGAAGTCGACCTGCGGAGGGCGTCGACTTGGTGACGCCAACTTGGGGCAGCCGACTTGGGTGGTCGGCTGACAAGACTGCTGGTCGACCTGGTGGTTGGTCGACCAGGCCTGCTGGTCGACTTGGTGGTTGGTCGACCAGGCGTGATGTCGACCTGGTGGTTGACCGAACATGGTGGTCGACAAAGGAGGGGCCGACGTCGACCTCGACGGAGGGATTCAGGACGCCGAGCAGCTGGGCGTCGAGTAGCAGGGCGTCAACTTGGTGACGCCGACTTCGGGTAGCCGACGTGGGTGGTCGGCTGACAACTGTGCTGGTCGACGTGGAGCTGGTCGACCAGGAGTGACGTCGACCCGGAGCTGGTCGACCAGGGGTGTGGTCGACCTGGTGAGGTCGACTAGAGGTGGCCGTCGACTTGGGAGGTCGACGGGCATATACAGGAGCAGCTGGTCGACGTGGTTGCCCGGTCGACCAGGTTACCTGGGTGACGAGGTTCCGCGGAGGAGTACGACGGTCGCCCAGGCCATGTTGTCGAGACCGACCTCGGTGGTGGTATCCCGAGGTCGACATGGCGGATCAGGTGCGGTCGTCAGCACGAGGATGACTTGGTGTGTGTGCGCTGTGAAGGTGACGAGGCACAGCATGCCAATCACCTGCGAGCACCTGCGAAGTAGGTGCGCTGTCGTTCTGCGGGAGCAACGCTGGCACGCCGTCAACCTGCAGCGTTGGCACGCCGTCGACTTTGCACTGCTGGAGCGCGGTCGACCAAGTCGTGCTGGAACGCGGTCGACCGAGCTGTGCTGGTAGGCGACCGACCTGAATGCTAGCCCTGACGTAGTCAAGTCTTGCCAACCTGATTGTACCATTGTTGTCAACGTTTCGTAGTGAAACTCTTGCCAATGCTCCCTGTGAACTAGCAAGTAGTGTGAGCACTTGGAAACGACTAAGGAACGAATGAACGCACAGATCACACGAGCACCCGTGCCTAGCCCGTAGTCTAGCTCCCGTTGTAGTAGTTATCTCCGCAATAAACCCGTGCCTCATGGACTCATGCCTCATGGACTCATGCCTCACTTACTCATGCCTCACGAACTCATGCCTCATGGACTCATGCCTCATGGACTTATGCCTCATGGACTCATGCCTCATGTACTCATGCCTCATGTACTCATGCCTCATGGACTCATGCCTCATGAACACATGCCTCATGAACACATGCCTCATGGACCCATGCCTCATGGACACATGCCTCATGGACCCATGCCTCATGGACTCATGCCTCATGGACCCATGCCTCATGGACTCATGCCTCATGGACCCATGCCTCATGAACCCATGCCTCATGGACCCATGCCTCATGGACTCATGCCTCATTAACTCATGCCTCATGAACACATGCCTCATGGACTCATGCCTCATGGACCCATGGCTCATGGACTCATGCCTCATGAACACATGCCTCATGGACCCATGCCTCATGGACCCATGCCTCATGGAGCCATGCCTCATGGATGTCGGAATCTCACCCACCTCCACTGTCCCCTGTTTGCCTTGCTCTGTTATCTCCCTCTCTTGCTGTCTTCTCACCGTTGTGTCACCCGCAACTCATGTCACTGTCTCCTCTCCTTCCCTCACAGTGCTGTATCCTTACTTTCTCTGTCCATGGTTCTCGTTTCTGTCTCCCTTGCTGTGCTCTTCGGCTTAGGTTCCTGTCATCTCCCTCTACTACCCACCACCACCCGAAGAGCAGGTAGTACGGGGATACATCCTTTAGGGATGCTTGCTTGCTAAACTTGTACCCCGCCATTACCCATGCCAACTTTCTGTCCCAGTCCCCTTTGTTTGCCTCCCCGTAGGCTCTGATGCCTTTCTTCACTTTCTGTACCAGCCGCTCCGTGAGTCCATCACTCTGGGCATGATACATGGATGTAGTACGGTGCTGGATGCCGTTCTCTGCCAGCAGCTCTTTGAATTCCCCTTGAAACTCCGTCCCTTGATCAGTGAGCACCGAACCTCGTCAGCACCATCTCCTCAAAAGCACCATCTCCTCAAAAGCCTCTGCTACTGCCTCCGCTGTCTTTGCCACCAGCGGTCTTGCCTCGGCCCACTTGCTCACGTGCTCTATCATGAGCAAGACGTATCTCCTGGCCCTCCGTGACACTGGCAGTTCTCCCACGATGTCTAGGGACCAGCGGTACCCTAGCTCCAGGGGCTGGAGTTCTGCCTGACTCTTCAGCAGGCTGGCTTTGTTCATCCAGCACAGCTCACACTTCTCCACCCACTTCTTCACTTCCTTACGCATCCCTGCCCTCAGAGGCCCGTAGTGCTCCAGCTTGTTGTGGACCTCCCGTATGATACTCTCCCTTTTTGTTGGCGCCGGCACCCGTTTCCATCCATCCTTCGTCTGCAGCTGTACTTGTCCTTCAAACCACCTGTAATGTTGTGCCCGCGCTCTCGCTCTTGCCCCTGCGCCTCCATCTTCTGCCGTCTCCCCCTTTATCCAGGCCAGCGTCTCCTTGTCCTGCCACACGTCTGCTGCTCCGCTCTGTTGCTCTCCTCCTGGCCTCCGCTCACTCACCATGGCGGTCAGTGCTGCAGAGGGTGGCTCTAGCTCGGGTTCCTGTCTCTTTTCCTTGCTAGGGGGATTCCTAGACAGTCCATCCACGTGTTGCATTGTCTTGCCCGGCCTGTGCTTCACAGTGAAATCGTATTCCTGTAGTTTCATCGCTCACCGCGCGTTTCTGCCTGTCAGCGTCTGGTTGTGCATCGGCCACAGCAGTGGCTGGTGATCTGTCACCAGGGTAAAGTGCTGCCCCTGCAGGTACACCCTGAAATGGCCCACCGCCGAAACTGCCGCCAGTCCCTCCCCTTCGTAGGACGAGTAGTTGGCCTCGGCCGGGCTGCATGTCCTGCTGGCAAATGCCACTACCTTCTCCACCCCCTTGTCCATCTGGCTCAGCACTGCTCCCATCCCTATCCTGCTCTAGTCGGTGTACAGTGTGAATGGCTGCTGCCCGTCTGGCAGCTTCAGTACCGCGCCTGCTTTCACCGCCTCCATCAGTCCCTGCAGTGCCTTCTCCTGTGGCTCCTCCCACTGCCACTTCTTCAGCTGCCTGTTCAGCGGTGCTGCCTTCTTGCTGAAGTCTTCTATGAACTTGCGATAGTAATTCAGACACCCCAGCAGTGCGCGCAGGCTAGGCCTGTCCTTAGGCCTCTCCAACCAGTCTAGAACCTCAACCTTGGCATTCTGGATGCTGAGATATCCTCCTGCCACTTCAAACCCCAAGTATGACACGCTGCCATGGCCGAATCGGCATTTTCTCGGGTGGCAGGTAAGCCCTGCGCTTCAATTGCTGTGAGGGTTGCCTCCACATCTCTCACATGCGCTTCGGCATTTGGGCTGAAGATGATGACGTCGTCTATGTAGCACGCTGCGCCACTCACTCCTCTCAGCACCGCATCCATTACTCGCCGAAACACCGCCGAGGCATTCCGCAGCCCAAAAGGCATGAAGTTCCACTCGTATAGCCCGTCCGGCCCATGGAAAGCGGTTTTCTTCTTGTCTTCTTCCGCTATCAGTATTTGGTTGAAGCCCTGTCATAAATCCAGTGTGGAGAAGACCCAGCTGCCGTGCATTTGATCGAATATCTCTTCTGCCATTGGCATGGGTAATCTGTCAGTTGCTGTCACCTTGTTCAGTCCTCGGTAGTCTCCGCACATGCGGCGAGACAGTACCGCGCCTGTCAGATCTGTCCTTGCTGCTACCACCGCGGCTGCTGCGTAGTCCGATGCTGAGCGGTGAATCAGTCCTGCTGCCAACATCTCCTGGAATTTCTCTGTGCAGATGGCTACGTCCTGCGGACTCATTCTTCTCCTCCTCTGATACACGGGGATCTCACTGGTCAGGGGCAATGCATGGTGCTGGTCACACACTTTCCCAATTACTGTAACGTGTGTGCGAATGCCGCTGCATGCTGCCGCAGTACCGCCTCCAGCCGTATTGCCATCTCTCCCGTCACTGCCCCACCAATGTCCCAGTGTGTCTCTGGTTCAGCTGGCTGCGTTGTCACCCCTTCTCCTCCCCGTCCTTCTTCAGCCGCCGTCTCTCCCGCTCCTTCTTGTTCCTGTAGTTCTTCCCCTGTCCTTTCTTCTCCCTCCGATAGCCGCTGCTCTCTGCTCCCTTCCGCTTCCACCCTCCTTGCCATATACGCCCGGCTCGGCCCCAGGAATACTTCATCAGGGTTAGGGATCCACCTATCCGTGGGGTCCTCCTCTTGCTCTGAGTCCCAATCCATCTCTGGTTCTCCTTCCCACCACTCTTCTTCCTCTTCCTCTTAATCCGGGTACCTTCCTCGGATCCCTAGGTGGTCGTTCAGCCTCTCGGCTCGCTTCTCCTGCGGCACCCCCTTCTTCCGCATTTCCCATGCCTCCTTCTCCAGGTGCTTCCAGCAATATTTCTGCTTCCTCCTCTTTCACCACATCTTCCGGAGTCTTTGGGTCTGCCCTTGCTGCGTGGTCTCTCCTTTGCTCCAGTTGGTTCCGTTCCAGGTGCCTGTCCATCGTGCCCACCAACCAGTGCAATGCGTTGAGGTCCATGGCCTTCCCCAGCGCCCTCCGCCTCTGCTCCTCTTTCACTTCTGGGCTCGCGGTCGCGCCCGCCATGAAACCCATTGCTAGCTCGCGCTCCAGCGCCGTAGGATCCTCCCACACACCCTTCAGTCAATCGAACACCATCCCTGGCCCTTCTACCCCATCCTTCGTCCTGAAGCCCTCTGCCTTCTCGTACGCCACCAGAGTCGGCCATGCTTGCCGTGGCTTTCCTATCTTGTTAAAAGGGTACTGCGTCTTGTGATCGAGATGTCGTACTGGCGCCGGGATCCGCCATGGCTCCAGTATGTCAGCGACGAGCCTCGGTCGCGGTCGCTCCATCAGTGATAGCTCATATTGCAGGACCGCTTCCGGCAGCACGTTCTGCCAGTACCTGCGAGTCCGATGAGTTCGGCTTCCGTTCTGCGCCGCGTCCCATACCACCCCTGCCCCCAGCTCTCCTCTGATCTCCTCTTCCGCCAGCTTGACCGCCTCTCTCACATCGTCCCTGGTATCCACGTTCTCTATGATGTACGCCACTTCCCCTTGTTTTCGTTTAATCAGCCTGAGGATCCAGATCAGTTCTCGGAATAGCCCGCTTCTCGGATCACCCATCCCCCTTCCTCCTCTAGCCCGTGACATCCCAGCCTGTTACCACCAAGTCGATGTGCAGCGGGCTAGCACTTCTTCCTTCACATCTTCCACGCGATGGCAGATCCATTCCGCCCCTCGTTCCACTGCCCCCTCATACAGCTGCGATGGGTACCTCTCTTCGAGTTTCTTGATGTGGTGCCAAGATATGGTGCTCGCCACGTCGTCATTATCCACATAGATGTACTTCTCCACTCTTAGGTAGCACCGCTGCCAGCCCCGTGCTTATGCCTCCGAACAACTCTAAGAGCACGATCGGCTTCTGGAACACCCTGTTGTCCAGGTGCTATGCTTCAGGCTCCCGCTCTCCCCCCGCTGCTGCCGGTGCCAGTCGCGGTATCGCCTCTCCTCCTCCAACTCCTCCCAATTCATCCGCCCCAGCTCCTGCTCTGCCGTTTTCACTTCTGCCTGATAGGCCTCCCGCGGCTCCCGGCGAATGAAGCGCACTGGTAGCTCCGCCAGGCGTCCATCATACTCCCAGTAGGTCACTCGATACGTCAACTTCTCCTCCCACATGCAGATCGTCGAGCCGATGCTGTAGAGGAATTAGACTCCCAGGAGCAGGTCATAATCCTCTGACGGCGAGATGCCGCACTACAGCTTCGCGGAGCACTCCTCTGGACTTTCCCGCCTGATCATAATCTCCACTGTCGCCCGCGTCTTCGGCATCCACTTGGTTCTGCCGCCCTCAGCCGTCATCAATAGTAGCCCTTCTGCTATCTGTCTCTCTGGCCGGTCCAGCTGTAGTTGTTCCGCTAGCCGCTTCCATATCAGCACTAGGTGAGCGCCGATGTCGATGATGGCCTGCTTCACCGGCAGTTCCCCCACCGTGATGTACCCCTTTTCCGCCACCAGTACCGACGCTGTGCAGCTTAACCTCTCCAGTGGGTGACGCCGAGGTAGTATCCCCTCCCTGGTTTCTCCTGCCAGACGTCTTCGCCCGTACTCTTGCTGCTCTTCATTTCTCTGCCGCAGGTACCTCTCCCTCGGCCTCAATCCCAGCTCCTCTCTTTCCCTGGCAGGCCTCGCCATCAAGCAGAATTCTTGTTCGTTGCCTTCCTCCTCCTCCTCTTGTCTTGCCACCATGGCCGGCCTCCTTTCAGATTCTCCCGTTCTTCTAACTGAGCGCGCAACCTTTCAATCCCTGCCTGCATTTCCGCCATTTCCCCCCTTTCCTTAGGTTCCCCCCGTCGCGTGTAGCAATCTCGCTCTCCATGACCCTTCCTTCCACATCTCTCACACGTGGGCGCCTCCGTGCAGTCCCTCCTGAGATGATCCTCTTTTCCGCAGATGGAGCAAGCCGGTGGGTTGCGGCAGTCTCGCCGCAAGTGTCTGCCCTTGCCGCAGTTGTGGCACTTCCTTGTGTCCGCCGGTCCTCTTGGCGGTCGTTCAAACTCCACGGGGCTGGCGCTCCACGCCGGCCTCCGTCTCTCCGCAGACCTCTCTCCCGTGCGTTCCACCTCAAACATCCGTCGGCCGGTCTCCACCCTTTTTGCCGTTTCGTATGTGATTCTCAGCGTCGTCGTTGCCCCCATCTCGAAGATCTTCACTTGAGCGTCCCGTTGTAGCTCGTAGTTCAACCCGTTCAAAAACTTGCTGACGAGTCGCCCCCGATCCACGCAGTTCATGTCCTCCCCGAGCTCCACCAGCGGCCCATAGTAGGCCAAGAGGGATTCTCCAGATCTCCGCTTGAAGTCTCGAAATTCTACAACCCGCTCCGGCGTCTGCAACCAGCATCTCCAGGAATCGCTTCGTGGGATTTCTCTCCCCCGGTCTTCCTTGCTCTGCCCAATCCAGCAGTTCCCGGTGGCAGATCCGGTAGTACGTCTCTGCCTCCCCTGTCAGCGTGTTGGCCAATCCTCTGAAGAACTCATCTGTCGCCAACCGATCTCGCTCCCATCGCGCCCGTATATTCTCCAGCTGCATCACGTAGTTTATCAGCGACGGCCCGCGTCGGGCTTCTCCTGAGAATCGTTCTGGCACTTCCACCTTCGGGAGCATCGTGTAGCGCCATCGCGTCGACGCCGCTTCTTCCTCAAAACCCTGCCACGACGCGCTACGCTGATAAGGCCGATCGCTGCCTCTCCTTCCTCCCGTGGTTGCGGCGCCTTCTAGCGAGATAGGCTTCTCTGCCCCGGCGCTACCTCCTTCCTTCTCCGTCCCGCGCGGCAGTTTGCGCTCGACATCAGAGCCCGTGGCCCCTCCCGTTCTCCCCATCACATCACCTTCCGCGCCCTGCGCGCCTGTCTCTTCCCCGGGTCCGCGCTCGTTCTTCCTGTCACCCTCCATCATTCTCGTCTCTGCTGCCAAATTCTTCACGGCAAAATCTAAGCCTGACCTCGTGGGCATGCCCCACCGTTCACTGATTGCTTGTGTGTGATGAGCTCTCTGCTCCTTCACACACCACAACTCTCTAGTCTCTACCTAGGGCATCATGCTTGTAATGTCTCCCTATAACCACTGCTTGCACGATATGCTGGAAATCACTCGTGTAAAAGGAAAACATACAAGCAATGAGCATTGGTTTTAGGAATCCACCTATTCTACCAGCACTTCCGCCACCATCCTACGGTCCCATCACCCTAGTCTAAGCTAGCAGCTATGAGCCTCTACGCGCAGACTTGCAGCCGTGATGCTTCTTGCCACCCTTCCTTGCCCTGACTGCTCTACCTCCAGCTGTGCTCATCCAGATCCAGCTGGTGTTGGTGCAACCCTACGGTTTGCACTCGGCTTGTTGTCCGTGTGCGTGCATGCGTGCGTGTATGGAATGGAATGAGGGCATGGGATAATATATATTTCATGCTTATAATAGTGTGTGAATGTTGAGTCATAATGTCGAGTGTGTGTGTCGAGTCAATAGCGAGTTATCGCTAGTCGCGTGTCACGCGGTCATTTGTGTCCCGTACGCGGTTCTATTTTGTCATGTGTCTCGTGCACGGTTTCTATTTTGTCGTGTGTGTGGAACGTTCGGCATGTCGCAGGTGTGTGCAGCAGACCCATCAAGAACTCAAGGATGAGTTTGTGATGAAGAACCCGAGCCTTGGTGTCAAGCCTCAAGTGATTTCGAAGCTCGCCAAAAGGGTACACTTCAAGATGTTGAAGAAAGTTACATTACAATGTGTAGTGTAACATTTCTGTTGGTGTAGACCCTTGTGGAGGGTAATTTCGAGACCCTTCGTGGTTGGGGGCAGTGTGGCACTGTTCCACATCACTGTACCTCGGCTCTTGGGGTTTGTGTTCATGCCTCATGGACTCATGCCTCATGGACCCATGCCTCATGGACTCATGCCTCATGGACCCATGCCTCATGAACACATGCCTCATGAACTCATGCCTCATGGACCCATGCCTCATGGACTCATGCCTCATGGACTCATGCCTCATGGACCCATGCCTCATGGACCCATGCCTCATGGACTCGTGCCTCATGGACTCATGCCTCATGAACACATGCCTCATGGACTCATGCCTCATGGACCCATGCCTCATGGACCCATGCCTCATGGACACATGCCTCATGGACTCATGCCTCATGGACCCATGCCTCGTAAACACATGCCTCATGGACTCATGCCTCATGGACACATGCCTCATGGACTTATGCCTCATGGACTCATGCCTCATGGACTCATGCCTCATGGACTCATGCCTCATAGACTCATGCCTCACGGACCCATGCCTCATGGACTCATGCCTCATGGACCCATGCCTCATGAACTCATGCCTCATGGACCCATGCCTCATGGACTAATGCGTCATGGACTCATGCCTCATAGCCTCATGCCTCATGGACTCATGCCTCATGAACCCATGCCTCATGGAATCATGCCTCATGGACCCATGCCTCATGGACTCATGCCTCATGGACTCATGCCTCATGGACCCATGCCTGGACTCATGCCTCATGGACTCATGCCTCATGGACTCATGCCTCATGGACTCATGCCTCATGGACTCATGCCTCATGGACCCATGCCTCATGGACTCATGCCTCATGGACTCATGCCTCATGGACCCATGCCTCATGGACTCATGCCTCATGGACCCATGCCTCATGGACTCATGCCTCATGGACTCATGCCTCATGGACTCATGCCTCATGGACTCATGTCTCATGTTGCCTCGCTGCCTGCCCGGGTGGGTTGAGAGTTCTTGTATGAACGCAGTGTGTCAAATTTTCTCACCTCCCACTCGTTCACTCTCCTGCTTGATAGACTTCTCCTCCCCAAGCCCATCCTGCTTGAAGAATCATCCAGTGCGCGCAGAAAGGTTGAAGAATCACATGCCACATGGTGCGCTTTCACCTGGCCGTGCTGGCACCGCCACCACTGTGCTCCGCCCCTGCCCTCCCAGCGCACACGGCTGCACCACTCACTTGGACTGCATCTGCTCTGGACGGCTACTCGTCTGTGTGTGCCCACCTGTTGGACGCATCCACCAAGCCACCTGCTGTCTGTCACGGTGTCGTGTCACCAATGAATCCTGGACCAGCATCTCTCCCACTCCCCATGCACTCCCCCACTCTCTCTCCCTGCAGGGGTCACAGCGCGCGCTGGGGTGGTCAAGCAGCAGCAAGCCATTCGTGGGACATACATGTCTCTGACAATCTGCCCTGCATGCTCCCCTCTCACACCCCCACCCCCACCATCTCCCTCCCTGCCCCTCCCTTGCAGGAGTCACCACGCATGCTGGGGCAGTCGAGCAGCGGCAAGGGACCTCTGACTCTCTGCCTTGCATGCTCCCCTCCACCCTCCCCTCCTCCACCCTCCTCCTTCCTCCCCACCCATGCAGGAGTCACCGCGGGCGCTGGGGCGGTCGAGCAGCAGCAAGGCATCGGGGGCGGTGGGGATGAGTGAGGAGGAGGCGATAGCGGAGCAGCAGAAGATGTTTGCCGAGGCGCCCGCTGCCATGCTCAACCTGCAACGACCCTCCTCTTGATCGCCACCGCCATACGCTTCTGCTACATTTGTTGCTTCCTTGGTGCTCTGCTAGTACGCGCTGTCAGAATGTGATGTTTGTCTAGCCTGCAGTGGGGTACTCTATAGCGAGTACAGCCCGAATTAGGGTTTGCTATATGTACTCAACTGCCTGCTAGTGAAAACCCTCTTTCCTGTTTCTCGTTTTAGCCTGCTGTTTCGACACGCGCACTGTGCACGTTCATGCCCTTCTTCTATAGTGCTGTTCTTCTGTAGTGCTGTTCTTCTGTAGTGCCATTTCTTTTGTTCTGCATGAGCCAATCTACTGTGTCCTGCCCATGGACGGCCATGCTGCATCGCCTCACGCTCCTCCTTGTGGCATGGCTGCCCTTTTATGAACGCTGGGGCCTCGGGCAAGCTTGTTGGTGTGATGTGCACGGCGGTTCTTCTGGTGGGATGCAAGTGCAGTGTAGGGCTGTGCTGTGTTGTGTTGTGTGATCACCCCAGTGCATGAGGTGCACAAAGAGGGCAGCTGCAGTGGGTGGAGTGGTGATGGGAGGGCACGAACACAAGAGCGCATACTACCATACTAGGGCTCCAAACTGGAGGGGCTCCAAACTGAACTGGTTGCTGTTTGTGCTTCATAATTCATGTGCTTAGGTGAATCAGGTTCTTGAATCACGCGTCAGAAAGAATCTTGAATCCTCGAATCCTCTGCTACCCATATGAAGGGCAGACAACTGTTACATGTACTAACACACAAAGTAACTACTGGGAATCTCTCTGAGACGTATGCTACTCAGTAGTCGGTGACAGTGGATGAGACCGTCCCCTTCATGATGGTGGTGAGAACTTGAAGCGAAAGCGTCAAGGCAGAAGGAGTATTGAACAGCCCAGCCGCGATTAGCGTCTTCAAGGTGCCGGTTGGCTGGGAAGCATAAATGAGCGACACCGTCTCTACAACGTTGCAGCTCCAAACGCCACTAGGATCGACGGTGAATATGCAGACGAATTCGGCCACAATGGCGCCTTTACTGTTAATGTACTTGGGATTGGTGAAATCTCTGGCCGACTTGGCGGGTGCGTTTGAAACGCGGATAGTGAAGTTGGTCGTTTGGACAGTGGTTGTGCTGCAAATGAGGAGGGGGAGGGAGGGGAGACAGGGAGGATGAGAGGACAACTGAGATTGCAATTCTGCACGTGCATTCGGAATGATTTTATGCTGCTGCTACTAATGGGGGTGAACGTTCAGTGTGGTAAGAGTTATTGAGATTGAAAGCATACGTTGTAGTGCTGAAAAAATAACATCGTAACGCTAAAACCAGGTGAATATTCAGATGTGACGCTTACACGTTAGCATTCAGCGTGCACGAAGCAGTCGTCTTGAGATTAGTCATGGTAGACGTTGCTTGGTCTGCTCATCGGCGAGACGGAAAAGGGAGGGCGACAACAAGAGCAGTGGATGGAATTTGTATCAGAGAACCAGCAACGGAGCAAACGGAATTGTGGCAACAAGCTGCGAGCACGAGGTTGCATTTCCTGTGTCGAACGTGATGATAACGCGTACGAAAAGATAACGCGGACAAAGAAGAGAACACATCAACAAGAGTGGCGCATGCAGCAAGAGAATTTGTCGTACAATAAGTGCTGCCGGTTTGGAGCAGATGGCGCCCCGCGATGGCACCGCAGGTGAGCGAGAGCAGCACTGCACGGGGACAAGACGTGCACGAGATGTTAGGGTTAAGTCACTCGACAAGGCGCTGCTATCCTCAGAATGAGTAAACCCTAAAAAGCATCACGCAGATTTCCCGAGTAACGCAGGGAGGGCGGAAGCAACAGTTGGTGACCAGAGGGACGAGGTACCCACATTTGCGGTGAGGAAAGGGTAAGCCCATCATGATGATACTCGAGGACGAAGGATCAGCGAATGTTCAACTCACCAGCGAGAACGAATGCGGGTCGCAGCGACATCTGGGCCATGGCGGATTTAGGAGGTAGTATATTTGCGATAGCGCTGATACTTGAAAAGGAATGGAGGCTCGATCTGGCTGAAATGAAACTGATTGCTGAAGAAAAGGCCAGGTGCTTTTTATAGCCAGTCGAGCTGTCTACTCGTGTTACAACACCAGCACGCAGGTTTGGAGGGCATGCGCTACTACCGTGATAGTAATTCCTTAGTCCGGTCTACATCGGGGAGCGCCGGGCACCATTCGCCCATTCGCCGCCGTGGAAGCCGCTGCTATTCGACTCAAACGAGGCGGCTGTCTGGGTCAAATACTACGAGACTCGCGGGCCTGGACTGGCGAGGGCGGTCCCAGGTGACCTCATGTCACCGATAGATCTGGATCCTGCCATGCAGTGGATGGCGGCCGTCACTAATAACATCTACGCGTGCTGAACAGGCAACCTGTTGCTGCGCTTCTCTTTTATTTTCTCCTGAAACCTGAAGCTTCAAATCCATTTCGCGCCATGTGACAATGGCAGACTACACTGGCAGTACTCAGGTATTTCGAAGGGTTCAGTTCGGCGAAGCCAGAATATGATGCCGCAAATCATGGTGCTGATCACTCGCTGAAATGTTTTAGAACCTGTATTCAACGTTCTGAACCGTTCCCAATCGTACTTGACTATATCCGTATCACATACCATCTGGTAGGCATCGTCAGAACCTGGCATCAGATTTTGCGAAGTACATTTCAGGCGCCGCGTCCCCCGCAAACCGTTTGAGATCACCAGGGAGAAAACAAACGTTTGGAGGGAAATGTCTTCTCGTCGGTATAGCAAGTTCCGTGCTACTAATACGGGTGCAATTGAACTAGCGAGTGAAGTCAAACGCGTACACATGTGAGCGAACATTTATAGCGAAAAATGCAAACCGTAACGCAGTCCGTGTGAAAGCGTGGTTCAACCACTATGGGTATTTTTGGCCCTGTGTCATTCAGTTTGAGACGAATGCTCAGCGAATGCGCCTTCAATCTACGACTCCACACTGAACGAGCGCATCACACTCTCTTTCGCCTTCACCTGTTCCTCCTAACCTCGTTCGAGCCTCGAACTTCGAGGGCAAGAAACAGCCACATCTGCCTAAGGGCGCATCAACATTTTGCCAAACGCTAAAATTCTAACCGTATTCGAACCGATTGCGAACTTTTGCGACGCCGCTCTAACGCGTACGACGACGCATAAGCTTGACGAAATATCTAACGACTTCTGACACCACCTGTTACCAGCCAGCAGTCTCAACCGTCGGTGGTTTCAACCATCAAGCGGCGAAATGGTGTTTGGCCGCAGGCAGTTCTATTTGTTGTCCTTTTTTTCTCCCTGAGCGAAGTTGGATCTGGAGGCTTTCCGGTCCGCCGATACATTTTGAACGTAAAGCTTCCTCATGGAGAGGGCGGCCGCCATCGCGGAAAAGGGAAGTGCGAAAAACAACTACAAACTGGCTTTTTCGTAACTTTCCAGTTGCATTCGCCGCGCAAAAAAAAAGTTTGACTCGAAAACAGTGGTAGCACAGGTTACTTGCGAAGTGACTTTGCCGTCACTTTCTTGGCGAAAACTGTACACCTTGGGGCAACTGTAAGGTGTACAGTAAAGCAACCAGGGAGTTGCTAAACGTCACTTTTGGGCAACCTAGGCGAAAGTGTATCTGAGCGGCCACGTGGCAAACGACGTACTCGAGATGAAACTGAAACATGCTGACGTGGCGGGCAACGTACGCTAACGACAGCCGTCAGATCAGATTAAAATCGACGCACGTGAACGTTTTTTGTCGACCAATCACAGAGCATTTATGGTGTGCGAAAACGATTTCCTATTGGCGAACGATTGGATTCTATTTAGCCAGTTTCGACACGCTACTGTTGTTTAGTTTATTACAAATGAGCGGATATGCCGTTTTCTTTAAATATAAAACGTTGGATGTACAAATCGACAGTACAATCTACCCAATCAAGCTAGGCCTACTGATCATACAGCACTGCTAGTAGATGTATCGGTTTGGGCTGCTTGATAGTATTGCCTGCAAGGAAACATAACAAGCCCGAAATTGTAAAACATGCAAATCAAGTATGCAATTCTGCACTCACCAATAACTTATATTGGGGTTGGTATACAGCAATGGTCACACAAATACACCATGCGATTCTGCTTGTCGATAAGCCTGCAAAAACAGTCATTCCCTGCAAAACATGCAAAAACACCCTGCTGTTAAAGCATCCCGCAGAAATTGCTTCGCCGGGGTTAGTGTAAGAAAATGTTGCTACTTAGCAAACGACACATACTTAACCGATGCAGAGTAAGTCGCGGTTGCCCGAGCGACAATGGTTACACACGGGATGACTGAGATGCCGGTGCGACAGGCTTGGTCGCACCCGTAATGGAAGGCGCTGCCAACATAAAGAACTATGAATAAACACGTGTACATGCAAACATAAGACACATGGCGCAAAGTGATGAGCTTACAGAACGGAGAACACACGGCAACCCAGTCAATAGCGTAGGAAAGAACATATACCTCACCAAAAATACTACTTACCTAACATCTCGCACTGCTGGTAGTCAAGTAGAAGATCGCACGTCTGAAATGGAGGTTAGAAAGGGGGCGAGTAAGAGTGAAAGAGTGAAAACAGGAGAGGAAACACACAAACCGAGCGATACGCACTGTACGGAACCGTACGAGCAATTGATCAATGACGGAAAAACGTATACCACACGAGAGAATCCAAGACTTTTCGCTTCGTTCAAAGAAGAAAAACAAACAGACATACCTGCCGGAATGCGTCTTAGCATCACCACGTGCTCGGGAATCCACCGCGGAAACGAAGCAACTCGTCGATCTGCAAAGGGGAATGGGTTAAACTCGATCCACAGAGGAGCAATGCGTTAAACCGAAGCGACACCGTAGCTGGAAACGGCGAAACGGCGAGCAATACATATACAGTTGTATGTCGCACCAGGAAAAACGTGTACCTAAACAAATGGTAACTGCACGATAAAATAATTTAAAGACAGCGTCACGTGCAA